AAACCTCCAATTCCCTCTATTCTCTTTGCTCCACGCCTTGAGCTTCTTTTTTAAGAGTCGCCTGTCACATTAAAGGAGCCCCACCACTCCTTAACTCTGTCTCTAAAACCCTCCACATTTAAGCAGCACTTCTCAAATTTGAAGAATGATGTTTTGAAAGGCTCATCTCCACAGGTCAATACTATGGGGTTATGATCAGACCCCAAGCTGGGCAAAGCACTTTATCTAATATGAGTGAACATGTCATCCCAAGGAAAGAAGTACAGGAATCTTCTGCCTCCCCTTCACGGGCACCACCACGTGGCGTGAGCCGCACCACAGCCATCTAAGGGCTCATGGGAGGGGAGCCCCTCTTGGCCAGGCTCTGGAAGGCATCACGAGCACCACCACAAGCCGTGGTACCCCTTCACGGCCCGTCAAGGTCTCCATTAAGGGTGCCATGCGATTCTTGAACCATTTTTTTTACTTGCCCCTCCTCTCCATGTGTAGGATCCCCCAAATAAAGGGGGATCCACAAGTTCCAATTCATTGATGCAACTAGAGAAGTCAGACATAGCCCCAAAAATTCTACTACAATTGGTCTTTTTTTATGGAAACCTTGTAGTGTTAAAATCCCCACATACCTCCCAAGGCCCTTCACATAAGTTCCTCATTTCTCCCAACTCCTCCCACAATTCCTTTCTCTCGCTCCCATCACATGATGCATATACTATAGTGATGAACCAAATAGGTCTTGATTTAAACCACTAAACTTGCAAGTAATGCTTTGGTTACCCTTTCTACTGGTTCCCCTTTCCAATTCCTCTTGCCCCACATTATCAAGATACCCCCCTTATTACCTAAAGATTCCATCCACATTCCTCTGATCCATCTCTTTCCCCCCAACTTCTGCAAATATTCCCTACCTCCCCACAATGTTGTCTCCACCAACGCTATTATGTCCACCACTTCTTGTTGTATTCTTTTTTTTTTTTTCGAATTGTTTTAAAAAGAAGATAAGTCTCCCTCTTGTTGTATTCTACTCCTTACAAGATTCCTCTTAGTATCCATTTTGAGCCCCCTCACATTCTATGAAAATATTTTTAGCTTCATGATAAATGTGGGGCTTGATTTCTCCCTTTACTCCTTCTTGCACTCCTGGAATCTTTATCTTTGTAATTAACATCAAAGATAAGATTCATTACTACTTTGGGGACCACCTGATTATCACATATCGCTGAGATGGGTTCTCTTTTTGTTAACTCTTTGTGCCTCCTCTGGTCAATTTTTAGTAGTAAATTGAAAGCTTCCTCTGTGCACCCCTCGAAAGCTACTCTAAACTCCTTGCTTAGCCTCAACATATTGTTCTGTACCCATTCTGTTGCCTTGCCTTCTACTTACTTGCTGCACCCCAAAGCATCACATTGGATGGGTGTTGGGTCACCCAGAATTGTGATTTATTTGAACTATTCTTCCCATGTAACTCAATTTCTTCTTCATTTAGTTCTCCTGAAGTTTGTGGTGATATTTCTGCATTCGCTTGTGTTGACTCTCAATTGTATATAATTGCTAATTGAGTCTTTCACCTTTGTTTCCTTCATCAGATTTTGCTCAGTTGAGGAGTATATAGTTTCATGCTTTTTTTCCCAGTGATTTACATCGCAAATAAGAGGCTCAGGTTCTTGTGGACATTCTTTTAAAAATGGGCTTTAAACATGCCCAAATGGCTTGGTCACTTGTTTAAGACCAAGTGGCCCTCTGTTTGATCTGAAGTGGGCCCCTTTGTGACCTTTCCACCCACGTGACTCCTTTCACCAAGAAGGCCCCTTTTATCTCTGTTAGGTTTAAAAGACTACTTTTCAAACCTAAGAATATCTCTGAGCCTCGAAAGATTTGATGGGTCCCTTCCTCTATACCCACCCTCTTCTCTTTCCTTAATTGTAGCTCCCTCATTGTATTTTTTACGAAAAGTCACCAGCGATTCTACCCATATAGGTAGAGAGAAGATGGTCTCATCATCGGCGATTTCGATGGATATTGGAATTTTTTCTGTCAGACATTTGACACGAATCCTAGCCCAACAGAGATGATTTTTGAGGTCGGTTTCTTTTTCTGTCTCTATCCCGTCACCGCACCAATCTCCAATTTTCTTCATTATTGGCCTGGACCAGAGATGTAGAGGCAACCCTAGAACTCAAATCCAGCACCACTCGAACTCATGAGTTTTTGGGGAACCCCTATGGTCGGTGACCACCATTGAAGCTTTAATCTGTTCCCTTGTCTTCTCCAGTCACCCATCAAGACGTGTTCTGTTGCTTTTCTGTCTGGAATTCAAAAAGAAGTAAAATTCCATTCATATCATAGACTTGGACTCCATGTGCTCCATTCCAAGTCTATTGAGCCCATCTTCTTACATCATTTCAGTGAGTGTATAGTCTTCTCTGAAGAATTCCCCACTAGACGGCCAATAGGTCTTTGTCTTCCAACTGGACTCCAGCTTTCAACATGTTGCCTTCTTCTGCTATCTCTGTCTCAGTTCTGGTCCATTTAGTTTTCTGCAAAGAGTCTTTATAACTCCTTTCCCCCTTGTTAGCAGCACAGTCTGCCTCCCCTGATAGTCTAAAGGGTTTTGTTTGTTTTGTACCCCTATTAATTGAATGTCTCTATTTTGTTAGCTAACTTCTCCCACCCTTCATTGAATGCACTTTCTGGAAGTATAATAACTGCTCTGTTGCTACCTTTAACTAAATTAATGATAGGTATCTCCCATATTGATTGAATTTTAGAGCTATAAAGAAGTTAGTTGAGAGCACCTTCATGACTTGGACGCTTTCCCTCTGATCCCTGAAGCATCTGTTAGCCTTTTGCATACCCAACCAAGTGCTCTCCTGCTAAGAATCATTTTCCTCATGTTATGCCTAGCACTTTCAACCCATCGTAACTAACATCAGCTTTTGATCTAGAATTTGCGCTATCGTAAGACTTCCCCTCAGATCTGAAATAAACTTTGCTGTCCATCTGAACCGTAATGGAGTTAAAAAAAATAGAAAGAAAGAGAGTGGTATTCCGGTGGAAGAAATCCACCACAAAGGAAAAGCCAACCAAAGTCCAGAAGGAACTTCAGAAGATTGTCTCGAAACTAGTGCCTAGGAACATTTGTTTTGAGGAAATGACGAAATGTCGACAACATTAACTATAATTGTTCTTTCTCTATGGATAGATGAATGCAGTGCCATAGATTTTGAACACTGAACATGCTTCTGTTTGGATTGGCTATTTTTTAAGTGGCTTATAAGTTAAAAGTCAAAAGCCATAAGTTGGGAACACACAACTTTTGACTTTCGGCTATTTTTTCGTGTTTTTTCAGCTTTTGAAAAAATAGCTTGAAAGCCAAAAAAATCACTAAAAATTAGTCAAATCACTAAATCATGAAAAATACTTGTATAATATGGATTCATGAAAATATCATTAAAACACCCACTAAATCATGAAAATACTTGTATACTATGGGTTTATGAAAATACCGTTGAAAACATGAGATTATAATTAAAATCATGCAATTGAAGGCTAATCATGAAGAACTGAAATTCATCAAGAACCCATAAATATCCTAGAAACCCTAGGTTTTGTAGAAATTATAAACTTGAGGCATTGGGGTTTTCTTGGGACTCAATGGGTGAAGGGATACCCATTGATGAAATCCCACATACTTGGGGTAGAAACTTTGACTTGATTCTTGGAATGGAGACTTGAAGCTTGGTACCTTAATTCTTGCTTGAGAGAAGACTTGAGAGGAAAATATTGATTTTGGAGAGTTAGGAGGGAATGAGTGGTTAGGGTCACTAGCAATTCCTTAATCCCACTTAGAATAGTCCGAAACGACGTAGTAAAGGGATTAAAAGAATGGGTAAAGACCAAAACAACCCTCATTAAAAACTGTCGAAAGGCATATAAGGGGCATCTACGGTCCGTGGTTCCATCTACGAACCGTAGAACCCTTTCGGTAGAAATCAGGCTGAGATTCTGAGTTTCTGAAGTTTGATTCTACGAGACCCATCTATGGTTCGTAAAAGAATCTACGAGCCGTAAAGTGTGTCCGTAAGAATCAGTATCTACGACCCGTAAAAGGGTTTACGAGCAGTAAACCTGGCTCGTAAATCTCAGACCCAATTTGTTGTTTCTGAGTCTCATCTATGGATGGTTTCTATGAGCCGTGCTTCCTTTTACGACCCGTGAACCATGTTCATAAATTCTGCAGATTCTGAACTGTACAACTTCTGGTCTGAACTAGGAACCTTTGGGGGGTATTACATAAGTTATCTACCTTTGGCGCTGAAGTGTTAAATTTTTTTGTCAAGTGTCAAAGTTGCTTTTCTTTTAGTGGATGACTATTGACTATTTGACTTAGTTGATGTTTATTGAGTTACACAATGGTATGATACAAAGGAAGCCTACTTTGCAGGTTAAGTAATGAATTTCAGCATTTCATGTGTCAAAATCTATTTTGCTCGGACTCTTCAAAAATGTTAATGAGTGCGTATTGGATCCTCCAAAGAGTAGTGCATTTTTGGAGGATCCGACATGTGTGCGACATCATTTTTGGAGAGTCCGAGTAACATAGGTTGAAATAGTGCACTCTTGGGCAACACTGGGTAGGAGATTCAACATTTTATGCTCTGAACTTTTACCACAAGACAGAAAGGAGGCTTTCTTGTTTAAAAAATGGTATAGAAAGCATAAAAATAGCTGTCTGGTAGCCTACTTTGACGTAATTCAAAACCCTAATTTTGAGCTTGCACATAGCGAGTCATTCTAGTGAAGAGTTGTATCCAGAGCATGTAATGTATAGACTGATGAATCAAACAATTTCCTTGCTCCATTTTGTTTAAAAAGTATGAAATAAACCTGCAAAACTATATACTGAAGTGTACACATTATTAAGAACAGACTATGTATAGCCAAATTCAAGCAATGTACTAGGTTCATAATTCGTCCTTTCGTCTTCCTAATTTTATTTGCAGAAATCATTCCAGGATCTTCTTCAAAAGCAGGAAGGTGATAGGGCATTATGGGAATACCCATTTGCTGTTGCTGGTGTCAACATCACATTTATGCTAATCCAGATACTTGATATAGAAGCTAGTATGTGTTCCTTCTATGCACTTGTTTACAGCGAAATGTAAAAAGACAAATCTAAGTCTATGAGATCTTGTGTTGATTCATTCAGCTATTATGTGTCTACTCTGCAGTAAAACCAAAAAATCTGGTAGGAGCAACTTTTTTGAAGTTTCTTGCCGGTAAATTGCTAGACCATGGTCTGAAGTTCTGCTTCATTTCCTTATAGTTATCCCCTTAAGTATTACCACTTGGTGCTTCTGCATTTTGGCATTTTTTTTTCTAAGCATGTCTTTCACCTTTGTACAGAAAACGAATCAGCATTTGATCTGCTATATTGTATCACGTTTAAGCTGATGGATCATCAGTGGCTCGCCATGCACGCGTCATATATGGACTTCAATGTATGTGCATTTAAGTTTTTATGAAGTTGTGTGTACTTTTAAATTAGTGAGATTTAGTTGAGGAAATGGAACATTTATTCCTAATTCAATTCTTCTCATATCAAATCCATTCCATATGCTCTCTAGAAGTTCCCATGCCTTTTCCACTTTATATGCTGGTTAAAAATTTCAGTTTGGCTACAGCAGCCGTAACCACTAGAAGTTCCCATGCTTTTTCCACTTTATATGCTGCCTGCTTCAAAGTTTCAGTTTGGCCGCATGGTGTAGTATCCTTAGCCGCATAGTGTAGTATCCTTGGCTGCCTGGTGTAGGAATTAGTTTCCCTCGGTGCTAGTAGCTTGAAGCTATGAGTTTAGAATGGCTTGTGGAGTATTTCATAGTTTTATAGGCAAGATAAAAAGTATTATTGATGTAAGTCAGCATAAAGACGCTACATCCAAAAGATTTGGGTAATTCAATCATGGCTTCGGCCTCTAACAAGTTGGCTTTAGCCATGTTGCACCAAAAACTAGCAAAAATCCATACAGTTGTTGGTTTGCACCACTTTGTGTTTTATCTGTACTCAAATAGATTCTCAGTATCTAACTCCTTTTTTTCAGTTAATGTTTTGTTGAGAAGTTGTTCATATGCTATGGATGATTGGCATGATAGAGACTGATGTTACATTTTGAGAAATGATTTTTCCATGTAAATCAAGTGCCCTACATTTCTGATGTTAGATCTGTTACGTTTCATGCAGACAGTTATGAAGTCCACTCGTCGACAAATTGAAAGGGAGCTTTTGGAAGAAAACATAAAACGGTTGGAGGATTTGCCCTCATACAGACTTCTTAATTGATAGGCATGACATTTTATAGTGTTTTTGTTTTGTGACCAAAAGGGAAGTGATTTTCTTGCTTGTTATGAGTTTAGTTAGAATTAGATGCATTTTGATGGTAGGTTGTTGGTGTGTTTGTCTTTGTTAGAGGCGGAGAAAGTAAATAACAGGCTTCTCCAGTGCATGATATAAGTGTCACTTAAAATTAAGTTTGAAGTTTGGGATTTATGGGAGATTGTTAGATGCCTAGTGATTCTGCCACATTTGGCGCTGACTTGTGGAGTCGTCAACATCTTCATTTTTGCCCCCACATTTGGTATATGCCATAATAGGAGAAAAAAACTCCCATTGTTCTCTTTCGTACTCAATAGATTCTCAGTATCTAACTTCTCATGTTGTTGTCACCCAATTTTGATCGTCCCCTATAGAAATTAATTTTCAAGCTTTTTAGATTTCAAACGATTTGAAATAATTAGTTTATAAAATTCAAGTATTTTCAAGTTTTTTTAAAAGTGATTTAGTCGGCTTTATAATATTTAGATAATAAATGGTTTTTACATAATTACTTATATAATTAATATACATTATTAATATTTGGAAATCGTCTTGAAGGATTTTGCTTTTTAAAATTAAATATTTTATTAATTTAGTTTAATATAAATCATAGTTATAATTTTGAGTTATTTAAATTGATTAGTTTATAATTAAGTTAATTATTTTATTTCGTTAAGAGTAAGAAGCTCATTAATTAATTTGTGTTAATTCGTCTTGTTTAAGTTTTGACTAAATTCATCGATTGAATTCGTTTTGGTTACAATTGAAATTTATTTGGGCTATTACTCCTAATCAATTTCTTTCAACCCTTTGCAAGATCCAGTTTTGGGCCGACCTTCCAAATTGAGCAGCCCATTCCCAACTCAAAGAATTTCAACCCAGCTCTTTTTAAATTCAGCAGCCCACCAAGCCAACCCCGTTCCAATTCAATGCAATACCCGACTCGGCCCACCTTTTTCTTCTCAAAGAACCCAGATGCTCAAGACGACAACAACACGCAATCACACGATGTCCAGTTCCAGCCGGTCATGATTCAACATCGTCTTCACTTTGTTCCAAACGGCCTCAACGATTGCACCAAACGGCAACTCCAAACGACACTATCACAGAAGAAGTAGCAACACGACGTGAAAACGGCGTTAACGACAACAACAACAATATCAAACGAGGCAAGCAACGAATTGACGGTGATACACGACGTCTCAATTCTAATTCATGGCGTGAGCAAGACAAATGCAGTACATTGCAATTCTTGACGTCTTCGTCAAACGTCCCTCTCCAAATCGTACAATTTAAGCAGCAAAAAGCACCTGCCACCACACATTTTTCATCCTTGTGGCCTCAAGATCGAGCCACATAGCTCCTTAAGGATAATGAGTTGATCCTAGCCTCCACCTCACCTCCAATCCATTCAGAATCATGAGAATCAATTGGGATATTCTTTGATTTTGGATAGAATTTTGTCTTGGGATTCAAAAATTGTGGGCGTTAAATTTGGGTTTTCACCATCTCCCCCCCCCCAAAGCAGCCCTAGAAATCTCATATAAATACCCCCTTCTTCCTCATTGTTTGGGGTTGGAAAAAAAATTTAGGAAGAAGATTGAGAAAGAGTATAGAAAGGTCGAGACCCAAATTCTGCCAAAATTCTTCTTGCTTTGTTGTTCGTGCTGGATATTTGTGATGAAAGTTCGTTCCTGCTCGTTCTTGTCTCAGCTCTGCTGCCTGGAGAAAGGTAATATCTCCCCCTTTGTTTACATTTCATTTCGATTCCGAGTGTTATGCGATGGGTCCGTCTCTGTTGGGTTTTGTGTGGCTTCATTCTTGCTTGATTTGAATATGATTATTCATGGCTCATTGTCTTTACCGTTGGAATTTCTGGCTGACTATTGTGTTATTCATGTTTCGTTTTAATTAGAGGTTCAAATCAGGTTATTGTTGTTTTAAGTTTTAGCTTTTCATGTTGTTTTGAATCACATGCTCTTCTTGCCTCGATTCTTATGCCTTTTATATGTTGATATTTGGAGTCACTGATTCATTTTGTTTCTCTAAAGTCAGTTGAGCCCGTGTCTCTCTAGTTGAAATAGTCTGGACATTCATGTGGTCTATACTTGAAATGTGTTGATTATGCTTTTCTGTCTTCTTTATTACTTCATGGTGCTCTTGTTCATCTTTTCTGTTGTCTCGATTTATTGTTGTAGATTTCTAGCAAAGTTAGCTTAGTCTTGTATGGTTACCCTTGTTTTCTTGAGTAGTTTGAGTGGTGTCTATACATCTTCGGCCTCTATACTCGTGATATTATGTGTGTATCTCGTGCTATTGTAATGTGCCAGTCTAGCTAAGATTTCTCTTATCTTTTGAAAATCAACCCTTCCATTGTCGTGTAATCTAAAAGAAATATCTACCATAAGCATAACAAATTTATTTAGTTTAGTTAGTTATCAGATGTTATTGTTCAACAAATGTCAGCCTATAAAAGTTGTATTATGTTTTTACCTATTTGTGCTTATAAACATGTTAAGTTGAGTAATAATGTTGTCAGGTTTAGTTGTTTGAATATATCAATACTCTCTTCATTTATTTGAAACCATCTGGTCTACTACTGTCTTTAAACTTTCTGCCTCCAACATTCTGTCTTTGACATCATATAGCATCACTAGACTCAATTAATGGAGTTAGTTTGAATTATTGCATGAGGCATATTATTTAGCAATGGTGTAGCATGCTCTCTTTCTCATTATTTTTGGTTTACTGTTGTTTGTTGTTGGTTGTTGGCTATATATTCCCTATAATATAACCTACTCTTGTTGCCTTCTTGAATGACTCCTAATTCTATTTGTTCAAGCATATGTTCCTGTTATTGTTAGGTGTTGAGATTTTGTTTGTTAAAGTCTTGTCATTTGTTAAGTTAGTTTGTTTTTGTCATCCTTAAAATTCATTTGTTATTTTAGTCTAATAGTTGGGCTTGGTTGCATCTTGGTTTTGAGTTTTTTAAATAACTTTTATTTCAATTAAGTTGTATTTCATTTGTTCTGTTTGATTCAAATGTTAATTCTTACCTCTTCCGTTTTGTTGTATGAACCCTCTCTGAGTCTATGATGGATTTCTTTCCTTTGCATTCTCGAATCGAGCCAGAAAGGCTCAAATTTCTTTTCGTCGTTGGGTCAGCGGAATTATCGGGTGTACGGGGAAGAATGTAAAAATATAGGGGGTTGGAAAATTGATTTTCAGGTCCAAAGAAGGCCCAAATGAGGTTGTATGCATGATGTATACAATGGTATACACTAGTATACATGGAAAAAATAGTGATACATGTTTAAAAAATGTCGAAATACGAAGCCCAAATTTAAAATACAGATTGCAATGTTGATGTATAGGGAATGAAAAGAGTCACAAGTTGAAGGGCAATTTTGCAGCCCGTATACATGATGTGCAGATTTAAACACAGCAGAACCAGGCGAAAACTGGGCCCAAAGGCCCAATGAAATGAATAGCAGCAGATTTTGACAATTTAGGCCTAAACCCATGAATTTCAGTTGTGTTGCTGATGGACAGGGCCCAAAATTCAAGCAATATCAACCGTAAAAGATTGAAACTTAAAAATTAGGGCAGGTAGCCTAAAAGCCCAATTTTGGCTGAACTTGGACAAGGAGTCCAAGTTCAAACTTCTCTCTTTGCTTTTATTTATTTGTTGAATCGGACTAAAATTGTATTTTGATTTTTGGTTTAATTTAATTAATTTTCGAAAGATAGTCATTAGTCCTTTTTTGTTCAAATTAAAATATTTATATTTTATTTATTACTTATCTTGATTTATTAAGTTGTCTTGTCAATACTTAAATTATTTTTCTTAAGAGTCAACTTATTTCCTTTAAAATAAAATAAAAAAAGTTTTTTACTTAATTAATTTTTCAAGTTAGTCAAATGTTTTAGTCAAATCGTTGGTCAATCACAAGTTAGCGGACATTGCGAGGGCCTAACACCTTCTCGAAATGTAAATTAAACCCCGAATCCTTTTGAATTTCAAATGATTTTATTCTGTTTAAATCTTTTAAAAAATCTTAAGTTTTCTTAATTTCTTTCAAATATTAAGTGGTGACTTTCTTTGAAAATTGATTTTCGAAAACCTTGTCTTTTAAATTATTTTCGAGAAAATAGAAATGGCGACGCTGCTGGGGATTTAATTAAGTTCTAACCGTAATGATTTGACTATTTGACTATTTGTTATTAATTGTTAAATTGTTTACCTATGCTTTAGTTGTTTAAATTGCTATAAACTGTTATTGGATTTTTCATTATATGTATAGTATATTAAAGAACAGTTTTACGTAATCGCAGCCAAATTTTTTTATACTCAACCCTTTTCCGAAATGATCGACAATTTATTGATTCGTCAGGCGTCCAATGGTTGTCGTGAATTCCAGCCTAAGTTGTCCGCTTGGGTTTCTGATTTGTCAAAAGCCACTGTTAGTCAAATAGCGTAGAGCGAAACCAAATCCTAGATTTAGCGCATTTGAACTAAGTTGACCCAAAACCCAAGGTGTGTTGGGCCCATTAGAAGCCCACCTTGTGTCTATTTAAGCCATTGGTCAATAAAAGACATTCATACTTATGTGTTTAATTAAAGAGTGTATATGTCATTTTAAACAAATCAATTATCTAAAGGGGGTAACTTACCTTTTACTCTTTTTCTTGTAGGATGAATCCAATAAATGAGCCCCTGAGGACCTGAATGGTGACCCAACCCTATCATTACCTCCAAGTTTGGTGGAAGTTTATGAACAATAAAGACAAGAAAAAGGTTCAAAGACACATAGGCCATCTCCCGTCACTAATGGACATGACGGCTTGGCCCGATTTTATTGGAACAATGGTGCAATTATGGGATAGTGATAACATGGTGTTCTAATTCGGGGAGGTAGAAATGACTCCAATTATCGAGGAAGTTGTTTCTAGTTATGAGAGTGTAAGCATGTGCAACAAAAGGAAGCGTATGCCCGATACTAACCTCCTCATTCCCCAATTACGGGATTTTGACAAAATCAAAGAAGAGCTTTCACTTGTCAAAGCCAAATGGATGGACAAGCTTCCCAGGCCAAGCATTCCACTTCGAAAGCTTTATTATTGATTTGGACGTGCAAAAGCTTTGGAAAAGTTTAAAGAGGAATTTGTTTCGGAAGAAGCTTTGAAGGAAAAACGTCCTCTTGTTTTTGTAATATGCCTACTTGGGACAATGGTATTTCCCCAAGGCCCAAGCTACACTATCCATCCAAGTGTAGTAATGGTCACTCATGCCATCTTTAACGGGGTAAGCTATGGGTTGGCGGTCAAGCATTAC